TCAATGATAAACTTGAGAAAATTTTACTTACATACATCTCGCACCTCGCATGTCCAGACTGTCAACCGCAAGACGCTTCATTGTCATACACGTCAGCACCAGACAACTTGACGCCTGACGGTTAGCCGTACGAACATGCAGATGTAATGTTTTTTTCATGGACTCGAGATAAACTTTCTGAGTTTTTCAGCAAGTTGCCAATTGACCGTAAATTAAGCTTAAAAAAATAATTTTTTAGATATCAGAGCAAAAGTTTGACTAAAATGAATTCTAATTGCTACAAAACTTGCATCAGCAAAATTAAATATGTTTGATTGAAAATTTACAAAATAATTGCTTTAAGCATGTACGGCTTTGATCAATATCTAACTTAAATCAATCTAAAGACACTTAGGTCTTCGATTGGAAGTACTAAACCCGAACTCATTGGGCTCCAATTGTTACATGTGCATCCTTCCATATCAAGCTTGATAAATTCATTTGGCCTAAAGGTCCAGCGATCATCTTGCTAAATACCATAGAAAAGCTTGAATAATGACCTTTATATGTTATAATTAATAGATATTAATCAGTGCCTCGCTGTTGTTTGTTTAATGCACTGTCATTTTAACATCAATTCAGAGGCCTTTGATTCTCTTATAACTGGCAATAAACCCTTAGGAGAAAACAACAAGCTATTAATTAACAGAGCCTTTATGCTACACACTTCCATCCGTTTTCTTTCTCTAGTGAGAAAGTGATTTAAGGACTATATCTTGAACTTCTATGCTCAGTGGAGCGGTATCCACTTTACAACATAATATACTCCCTTTTAGCTCCATTGCCAATAGACTATCCTTGGAACTACTAGATTATCTTATGTATGCATAATCATTAAAATCTATGTAATTAAATATGTAAAAATCCTAACTTATAGGAGACCCTCCATAAATATTTATGCTCAGGGAGGTCACTCTATTGCCTCTTTACTACTCCCAATCTGCAGGGCTAAGGATGAGTAATTTCTGTTCGCTATTCTTATTGTGTGCACCCTTAGTAAGAGCGTGGTGACTTTATTAAGCCCTTAAGGTGATGCCATTAGGCTACCCAAATTCAAGGATCGCATAAAGAAAATAGAGAAAGGAAATCTAGCGATTGTTTCGCTAAGGAAATCTGTGTGATAAGTTTACTAGAGGATTAAGATAACTAATTATAGCTTATAGGGGAGGGAATGAGTCTAGATAGCTTTTATTATATGCTTATGAATCACCCATATAGCTAAGTTGTAACGTGCCTTTTCTAAGGGCATCATATCGATCGATAGATGTGAGCTAGATAGATCTTGTTAAGCTCATGATTCACCAACCATTTGAGTTCCAACAAAGATTCCAACTATAGCTTGAACTCATAATACATACACTCTTTACGACTTGAAATAAATCTGAAAAAGTATACTGAATGCTAATCATAAAGATTCCATGTGAATTATCTTACATTAATATCTTAAAAGCTGATTAAAGAATGATGATCTGAGCAAAATAAATCGTCCAAGCAATTCTGATCAAATCAACCAAAATATCCTTCCCCTTGGACCGCTGTAAATTGAATTTGTATTAAGTTCTAATGGATTACCAAGCAAGTAAACAAACAAGCTTAGTCTAAAACGTGCAAGCTACTGCTGATAATTGTGTAAAAATTAATATTAATTATATAATGTTTGATTTTGATTATATTTTATTTTTTAAAATTACAATATTTAAGATCATTAATACAATTAATATGACTGCAATGCTTTCGATCACAGTTCACATATTTATGAAGTTCGAAATATTTGAGCGTGTTTTGTTGGTACTAATTAATTTTTGGCTGGTTCAAAGGTTTTAGCTATTTTATATATTATTAGAAGCTATTGGTCGGGGTTCAAGCAAGCCGTAAAATACCCTTTTAAGTTAAAAACGTTAAAATGTATAATTTAATTGCCTTGATTTTTGGCATTACTTCATAGCTCATTTGTTCCTTATTTTGGTTGTATTCACACTAAAATATCAAATATGCCTAAAAAGAGAGAAATATTGTTATAATCAAATCAAGTATGTCCTACACTAAATCAAAATTCCAAAACTAAATTTCATTGTTTCAATGCAACTCTTGATTAATTCCAAAAACCAAATTAGTACATCTAAGTTCATTTTTTAAATAAATTCAAGCAACGATGGACAAAAATAATGATAATCCTTCTAATTCATGCATAGGTGGAGCACATCGATGCTGACGTAATTGACACTAACCTCCAGATTCTAGCCCAAATTTGGCCATCCAATAAGAATAAAATTAAACATGATCTCAAAGCCATTGTTATAGATTATCACCTAAGAATTTGATTTCCGTTAGATCTAATATATGATCATATTTAATCCGCAAATTAAACTAGTGCGGCATTTTTCTCATGTGGACCAATCCTAATTGGCCTGGTCAACTTTATCGAGTTTTAGTTGACCTCATATGGCTATATTCAACTCGATTAATCGTTTGATAGAATAGGGTTTAGCCCAATTGCTCTAAAATTACCTTCAACAAGCATGAATGATTCCTGCGTAGCCAACCGCTCCCAATCAAGTTTGGCTCAGTTCCAATTAAATTGGAGGGTTTAGCTGGATCATACAATGATCAATTATTCATCCCACTGAGCAAAAACTGATTAGCCTAATGGGTTCAATTCTTAAATTAATGACAGAATAATTGTCAGATTGAATCATTTGGCTTGATGAAGTTCTGAGTCTACAAAATTGAGCGTCTTGGCTCAATGGCTTGGCCAATTTTATATGATTGGCATAACCAAGCTTTGATCGAGTTAATTGGTGTCAAACCTGACTCAATTAGCTCTTACCCAGAAAATAAAGGTTCCCAATCTTATCAAACTGAAGTCAAATTAGTCAGTCATATGAACCCAATTATCCTATTGGCTGGTTTAATTAACTTACTTGTTTTCCTAATCAAAACAATCCTAATTTAACTAACACTATTCTTGATCAATCTAAATTGTTTATAGTAATCCAGGATCCAGGATCACAATGTCTCTCCTAGGTTGTTATTTCAACATCTTTTTCATCAATGAAGAAAATAGCGGAAATTATAATAAGAATGTAAAAGCTAATACAACATAAACAATCAAAGCACAAGGTTAATGATGTAGGATGATTTAAGCAGGTGATAAAAAGAGCAATTAACTTATAAGCGTAACATGTTTACTTCACTCTGCACAAAATAACCACAATCAACTAATACGAAAATCAACATGATGAAATACAAAGCTTTAGTAATCCATGTAAATTTAAGTCTAAGTGCAAGAAAAATAAAATTATGGACGCATTAAGGACAGGATTTTTACGTTATTCTATATTTGGGTTCCCTACACAATTCAAAACTCTTTACCAAGTCAGAAGTTCTCTATTTCAGCTTGTAATTTCTCTCAAAAATACCTAAGAATGAAACTGAAGATTTATAATGACAAGAATTCAACCCTTTATAATCATAAATCTAATTTAATCTCTCCAAGTTCTTGCACCAACCAAACATTATCTATGATATACATATACATAATAGCTTTTCCCCTAGCCCTTGAAAAAATCCATAAGAATTGAGGTTCATTCTCAAATGAACGCATAAATTAATATTAAAAAAAAATCTGACCTAGTGGCTAAAAACTATTGCTTAGAGGCGAAGTAGGGAATTAACACCTTGCCAAAGAAAGTTACCCGGGTGTTGTATGGATCAAAAACTCCAATGAAAGAACAGCGAGCAAATGAGTCTTATAGCCACACCTTAAAAATAAGACAGCCAGATATTTGAACTTGCATCCTCAATTGCAGGAGAAACACGGGTTAATTATGCTATGATATGATATTTTTTATTTGTTTTCTATATGGAAGGCAGAATGTCTAAGTTATGATAGCTAATCAATCTATATTTAAACTAATCCAACCAACTTAAAACTCTTAACTAAATAATCCTTTATTTGAATCTTAACCACACTTCATGTACAATTTTATAATAAAAATTAATTAAAGCTAAAATTAAAACTGAATCCCAAAATCAGCGAAACAGCCAAAATTTAAAATTTTGCAATGATATAAAAACCAAGTGCATCAAAACATAGCATATTCATTGCATGTCCAAAAAGAACTTTGAACCTTACCGTATTGCACAAAATTTCTCTTCCAATCAAAATTTAAAGCTTTGCAATTTAAACAGAAAAAAATAAATTAATTAAATTAAGGGTTACCACAAAAACCGAACATTGTATTACCAATTTTTCCAGGTTATACACTTATCAAGTTTTAGTAAAACCAAACCCTAAACCTAACCTAGCACAAACAAAAAATAAAATTAAAACACAAACTTCAACAGCCCTCACCCAACTAAAATCCCCAATTGATTAGTAAAATAAATATTACAATAAAGATTAGAAGCAACACATAACCTTTTCCCTCAAGCTCGTGGCAAACCAATTGTATGTAGAAGAATATTTTCTGATAGTTGTGGCCTCCAATCCTTTGTTTAGCTCCCACCAGAACCAGTTTAGCACATAAACCAGAAGACCAAAACAGTTTAAAACTTACCCTTATAATGCGCCACATTATCTCTTTCTGCAGAAATAGATTTTATCGTTAGATAAACAGTACCTATCGTTCAGTCCTTCAGGCTGTGGTTGTCAAGCTCAACCTGTATCCAAGAAGAAGAAGAAGAAAAAGAAAAACCAGAAACAGGACGGTATAAAGATAACACTACAAACTTCAGAACCAGAAATGCTGAATAGAATTCAAATGCATGCCTCATCACCGGTTTCTGTACAGATTCAGAGTTCACCCCTCCATGAGATTTCATCGCTGTCCCAAGCATGGCATTTTTCTTCACCCATGAAATAAAGAAAGTGGTAAGAGCATAATATACTTAGTAAGCAATAATAACAGCACATCAAACCAATACGATAAATATAAAAGAATGAGATGGTTAAATAAAACCTCATGTTCATCCACTGAGCCATTTTGAAGTACCGGAATGCTCTGATTTATGCCTTCCACTTTCAGCAGCACCACTGCAGTCACATTCGGCAGGTTGCAGAATAGCATCTGCCACATCATTAGAACTGGACACATTTCCATCCACAACACCAGAATACTTTAAGCTCTTTGCCCGTTCTTCAGATTGTCCAGATTGAGCCTCTGGTGATTCCATCAGTTTTACAATGGATGAAGACCTGTCACAAGAACCATCCACAGAGAGAGCCATTGGGGTGCAGCAACCCGGGTTAGGAGAAGCAGAGCATGATGCACCACCATTAACTCCACATGGAGTTTTCAAGCATCCTCTACTGCCAACAGATTGTTCGGGCGAAGGCGACTTCCTCTTATTAGGGCTGAGCGATGCAAGTTTTTCAGGACTTGATCTCCCATCATCCTCTTCAACACTCATTTTCCTCTTAAGACTTCTCTCTGAAGATCCGCCATCACGTTCATCCTCTCCACCATTAACTTTCTCTGGATTTTGAAGATTAGTTGGTTTAGAAGGACGAGGTCGCTTGTAGCCTTCCGGAAAAACAAATGAAGGAATCTGCTTCCTTCTAACATGGGAAACATTAATTTCCATGCCAGGTTTCCAGAACATGTACATGTTGACAGAATGCTTAAATTCATCCACCGTTCCGCGAATATCAAATTGTTGACCTTCTTGAATCCGAACCCCTTGTTTCCTTTGTAATCCCATGAAAAATGCACAGTGACTGCACCGCTTAGAACTGTCAACATACTCATTAGGATAAGGGTGACATTGTAGCATCCCACAAGTGTCCCGCTCAATCTGAAGGAGAAAAAAAAAGTATTAAATGATAATCAGAAACTACAGCAGAATTAAAATGTCAAACTTTACATTATGAAGCATATATTTTTTGAAAGAATAAAAAAAAAAAAAACCCCAAAACCATTTGTTCAAAATCACTGCAAATATCAAGAGGGAGCTCTAAGCATGGACTTCTATCTTCTATTGATCATAACCCTCAAAATATAGGATCTACCTTGAGAGTCAACTGCCTCAATCGAGATTCCACCCAACCCTTCCATATACGCAGGTCATCTGAATCTGTGGCAACGATATCAACCTGAAGATAATTCTTATATGAATCAAAAAAAAGGTACGGTTCAAATAATGCATTCCAAATAGCCTTGTTCAGCTCAATCTCCTGTAAATGATGAATGAAAGTTAGAAATAAAGCTATTGAAACAAAAATTATATTAGTTTATAGTCAAATATTTCTTACCTCACAGATTCTGTTACCAAACTGGAACTGCTCAATCATGACACGAAGGGTGCTGGTTGACACATTGTAGCTAGAGTTCATGCACGGATACGCAGGCGTAATTATAGGCATCTGATGAGTTCTGTCCCTCGGGTTCTTACGTGGGTCCCAAACAGGAAAACCAAGTTCATCCTCCTCAATGGCACACAGCATGACAGGATTTGGCCAGCGCCATTGAGTATATACTCTAAAGAAACGAGACACTAACATACTAGATACAGCATTTGGATACAACTGGCAAACACGAGCTACTAATAAAGCCCAATTAACACCCCCTAGAAATCCGGTAACCTAGCATGAAAAAGCTAGTGAAATATGGTGCCAATTTGAAAATCAATCACATGAAAAACATATATAAAATCATACATTTGAATATACACCACGCCTCTTAGCCCAAAGCTTTAAGCATCTGAGAGTTGTTCGAAAATTCTAATAAAGAGAGAAAAAAGAGAAACAGAAGGATTAATGATTTCAAAATCATTTAAAAGTCCAACAAAATTATAATGGCAAAAATTTATTAACCTCAACATTGGGAACAAGCCTGAGAATCTGATCAGCTACTCTGCAGCCATTGAGGCTTCGAACCGTTGGTTCATCAACATTATATAGCACAGAACCATGAGAAATGTCCAAATCCTGTATGGAACCAATGAATTGTATGGAGGTATGCAGCAGAAACAATACAATAAAAATGCATATAATTTAGACTGTTCAATAAACAGCACAAAAGCATCAATCATGCCACCAAAAGGGAAGTACAATAAACCTTAAAAGTAATCTAATGAAAAACTCTGATAGAATACACCTTGAAGGAAAATTTACTAGCGAGAACAAACAAAGAATATGAATAACCCAATAAAAAGTAAAGATACAATAATGATGCATAACTCCATAAACATCTATTAAAAATTTTGAGTATGATTAAATATATCTTAAATTAAAATCGCATAGCCCAAATGAAATGAATCAAATAACTTATGATATGGAGTCAACACATGGTTATAAAATCCTATCATATGAAATCAAGTAAACAACACATGAAACTCATTTGACCGGGTCAAAGACCAGTAATATATACTCATAGAAACACCATAAAACATCCAAAGACATCACACACTACCTACAATTGAAAAAGATAACGGGTATTTTGGGAGCCAAACCTTAGCAACTTCATCTAATGTCTTCCACCCTAACTCATCCCAACTCAATGGCATCTCAGAAAGTTGACAACCCCACACAAATGAAGTTAATCAGGCAAATTTTCCCAAAACCAATGGGCAGAATATACTAGGAATAAACTTGTTTCTGATTATTGAAGTAAATTAGTTCAGCATGCGTCATAATGAATCAGCCAACGACAGAAAAGTATTATGAATAATATCAGGAGAAATATTGTAACTAAATCATGCAAAAGATGTGATAAACTCATATACTTGCACATAAAAAAGATTATGTACTTGCAGAAGTATGTATGCTCAGTAAGGAAGATCAATTGGGAAACATGAAGAGAATAGATCTAGCCCTAACACTGGGCCAAAACATAAAAATCTTGGCTTAAAAACATTGAAATTAAGTCCGGACCAAACTTTAATTCCGTAATTCAAAACTGTCAAATCAACATGCTGTCCAATTAAAGTTATCATCATAAACAAACAGCCAAAGACTGTTCAATAGAAAAGAGCAGTTACAATACAATACCAAGCATTTCCAAAAGATTGCCGTTATTGTTTGGAGAAAAAGGTTGGAAGAAGGAAAACAAATTTCAAAAGAAAGAAAATCAAATGAAACATCATCTAATGTTCTCGTGGAAGTTAGAGAAGTCCACTTTTAGCAATAACGAATAACTTTGACTGTAATAGAGCAACCCATAATCACAACTAAAAAACAAGTAGTTAACCAGGATGACATTGTAATCAAACCATTGTCAAAATTATTTGCTTTACAAAAACTTGAAATGATGATAATATCAAAATATAAGAGTAGAAAAACAACTAAAAAATTAAAGTAGACATCTGGCATTCAAGCTTTTTACGGTTGCTAACAAAAAATGCAAGTGCATTATCAAATATAATAGCTAGGTCAAAGTAAAATGGCTACCTAATACATGAGGTTCTAGGTGCTTGTCTTACTGAAATGGAGCACTTAAAAAATAGTTTTCTCTATGTAAGCCTAGTTCTATAATGCGGAACATTTTTTAAAGTAAAATAAATAACATCACCTTAAATTAAATTTTAATGTTTTGTTGTATTCCAAGTTCAAAACAAGATAAATATGTTGTCATAAGCAAATCATCCAAAATACATAACAAATCTTGAAAAGTTAAACACCATAATTTTGTAGCACAATCCGTCTTAAGGTCTATTTGGGGCAGCTGCAGCTTATCAATAATCTATTGATAAGAACCTAATCTGGATAAGTTGTTGATCAGCAGCTGATATGGATAAGTTGACTGATTGTTTGGTTTGTGTTGTTGGAAAACAACTGTTTTGTTGTTGATTTTGGGTGAATAATCATTCTGCCCTTGTTCAGTAATGTTATTCACAACAGAACTGTCATAACAATATATTTGAAACTTGAGATGCAAAAAACAACTTAATATAGTACAAAAAAAAAAGATACATACCTCACTTAGCAGTGAGTATCAAGATATTAAAATTACAATTAAAATATGATAATATTAATTTTAAAATCTGTGCCAGCTCACCAACAAGTAATCGAGAAAACAAATCTGCTACAAATATGTCGATAATTGAGCTCAACGGGATGACATGTCCATTGAAATGCATTAAAAACAAAAAAAAAATGCTTAAAGCTAATGGTGCCAATTTCAAGTATGTTGAGGCCCAAACCCTTATTTCTTGATCATAGTTACGCTTAGGATAAGGAAAACACGACATTCGAGAGGTCCAGATGATCGGCTCCCACTGAAGAAGAGTGATGAAAAAGAGGAAGGATAGAGGACGATACCAACGGGACACAGAATAAATGAAGGTATGGGAAGCCGATTCGGGGATCTCGAAAAAGAGAGGAAGGAGATAGTCGAGATCTGTTGATAGGAGCAATCGAAGGAGAGGCGAGGGAGAAGTTGCCTAGGGCAATAGCAGTCGAGCGAGGGCGGAGACGGGCAGAAGGGCGCAGAAGAAAACATACCCTCGAAACATGATTGAAAACGCGGGTCGCATTCGATCCCGCGGCCGCTTTTATTAAACGATGTCAAACGCAAGTTTCAGATAAGCATCCCAAACGCAGAAAATAAACGGTCAAACGACATTTTTAAAATGCCAAACACACAAATAAGCTGCGCCAAACAGATTTTTAGTTTAATACTTTCTATCATCTACTCCTTTCTAATCATCATCCATTCTTTTTCTTAAACATTGAATTTACAAGCCCACCGCTGCCAATTTATCTATTCTCCATATTCAACCTCTTTGTCCTGAAGATTTAATATCCAGACTTTTAAACTAATACACAAAATTTTAATTGAAAATATGTCAAAGAGATAAAGGCAACAGATAGCAGCTGCAATCTCTAAAGCCAAAGGCATGACCAATATACGGTTAAACACCATAAAATGATCCACAAAGATTTACCTCTGGAACTACGAGAAGGGATACACTTGCATATAAAAGGTCAATAGATATCCCATTAAACTTGAACTTCATTACAGGGACATGAGCATCCGGAACAGGCTGAAGTTCAGTAACTTCTTCCCTTTCAGACAAAATTTCATGCAAAATGATGAAGAAGTCCTCCTGCGCACATTGAAAAGCCGCTTTAAATCAAGGGTAGGGTCCAAGAAATAAAAAGCCCTAATGATGAGAATTTAACCTCTCGATTCACATATGAAGGACCAATGCAAAGTGTATCAATATCAGATCCTGGTCCATTAACCTGTCACAACAGACGAAGGGAAAAAAAAAATTAAGGCTATGCGTGAAAATAAAATGAGAAACATATAATTATAAAATTGGATATTTGAGACACAAAGCAGTAAAAAGACACCCATTAAAAAAGATAAATTGTTAAAATAAACACAGCCGTTTACTGACCTCACTTAGTCTTGCCATTATATTAGTAAATGCATGGCATCCACCAAGCATTTTAGAATTGCAGATAGTAAAAGTTATGTAGACTCACATTAAAATATTCTCTTACCCCTAACCGATAAGAACCAAATGTAAATAAGACGGCATTTGCGTCCTCAACCATTTGATCGGTATATCCTCGCTGACTTGTTAACTGCTTCACCCAGTTCTTTACAATCTGCAGTGAAAATAAAAAAGTATAGAAAATACTTAATGCAGAAGACAATTAAATATATAACCCAGTCAGATGCTAAAACATAAATTTGAGGCATTTACATAAATACCACTCAATTCTTATACATTTACATATCTAACACCTAAAAATTCATATTTACAAGCATGCCACTCAAATCTTTAACATCACATCAAAAACACCACCCTCGCTACCTTTTTAAAAGTGAAAAACACCTTTTTCCTGCATAAATTTATGCCTCCAAGTAGTTATAAATGTAAATATCAAAATTTGGGCGTTAGATATGTAAATAGATAAGAATTGTACGGAATCTATGCAAATTTTAAAAAATTTTCTATAAGGAGTATTAAATTCATCTATAAACAGCATAAATAGGCATGAGCATTGGGAATAAAATCATATCGAGTTACAAATAAATCTAGACCTATATTAGAAAAATCATCAAATAAAAAAATGAGCGACAAAAAAAAAATCATCTTTAGAAGCAGGAAAAATGTAGTAAACTTACTAGACGATACCACAGCAGTACAAGAGCTACCAAAGTAATAAATCGACGTCAAATTAACTAGTTCTTACGTAATTACAAATCAGGTGTTAGATATGTAAATACATAAGAATTGCATGTAATCCATGCAAATTTTAAAGATTTCTTTTATAAGAAGTACTAAATTCATCTACAAACAGCATAAATCGACATGAGCACTGTGAATAAAATCATATCGAGTTACAAATAAATCTAGAACTATAATAGAAAAATGATCTAAAAAAAAATGAGCAACAAAAAAAAAAATCATCTTTAGAAGCAGAAAAAATGTAGAAAACTTACTAGACGATACCACTGCAGTACAAGAGAGAACAAATAATAAACTGACTATAAATTAATTAGTTTTCATGTAAAGAAGACTCCGATTTGAGATGATGTGATCAAATTAAATATGAAGTAACTAGTTAGCATTTTGACTTCAATATGATTACTTCGAGTTCAAAGTTCAGTGAAACTTTACACAAAAAGAAATGAAAGTTAACTACTAACTAAAGAAGCATACTTTTCCCAAAAAAATCAAAATTATATCATGTGTCGAGTTCAAATTTCAATAAAAAATCTAAGGGATCAAGCTAGGACATAATAAAGAGTTATTCAAAGTGGCTTGAAGTTTAGTAAGTGAAAATGATCCATGAGAAGTAAACATTATGAAGCTGTTAGAAGATAGTAGATATCGCTTAAATATTAAAAGCGAATAAAACCTCATTATAAAGAGGAAAAAGAGATGCTTGACACTAATCATTAAAAAAAATTATGCTTATCATAAGCCAGGATCCTTGAACCTTGGTTTAGTGTATATAAAGATATAATTATGTAAATCAAAGAAATTTCACAAGTTCCATTGACGAATTTATCACATTATGCTGGCACAAACTGATGGAAATATGGAAGCGAGCCCATAATTCATAAGAATATGACAAAACATGTATTATTTGTAAAAGCTTGAAAAAGGAAAACATAAAAATAAGACAGGATAAATGAATTATAACAGTTACCAGATCTAACTGTCCTAGAACCTCCTCCCTCCGTGCAGCTTCTTCTTTGCTCTCATAAAGTCCAGCCTCAACTAAGAACTTCATAGGGACAATCCCATATCAGAAGAAGAATGCAACGAATGGAAGACAGAACATAAAAGGAAGCACGCAGAAGAAATAAAAAGGCAAGAATTGAAAAAAACATACCTTTTCCAACTCCGCAGATCTCTGAAGATCTGTCTCCGTTGGCCCTGCGACTGAGATAGGCTTCGTCACGCCATACTGCTTAAGGCCATGCGCCACCGTGCTCCCAGACTCCGAACTCCCCATCTTAAAACCCTAGAAGATTAAAAAAAGTCTACAGAAAGACGCTAGGAACACTTCCGACAACCCCAGAGATAAGCACTAAAATCCTAGAAACGATGAGATCTAATATGACAAAAAGGAAACACCCAAGAAATCACTCTAATTCTAAAAAAGAAAAAGATCAGTTAAACAATTTAAAATAGTATATCGTCATAACAACAGGCCTACACGGGACGCAAACCGTAAATAGCAGGATTAAAGACCAATCAATCAATCGAAATCATAGAGATGCTTCGTTTCTGTGACGATCAGGTATGATGGCCTGTACACTTCAAGAAGTCAATTCATGGGCCTGAAGTTTCTCCAAACAACAAAGATACAACCCTAAATATCACCTAAGGAAGATAACGATTAAAAATTTCCTTTCCTGTACGAAGATATCAAGAATCGCCGTTGAAGATACCAACGAATGGTGCTTCCAAATACAACGATTCTCTCACCGCCCCAACCCAAACAAGCGCCAGATCCCGCGAACCTGAAACCCTAGAAAGCCGAAAACCCCACAAATCCGAAGCGGAGAAAATTGCAAACGATAGGTGACGGCCGATTGTCACCGAAGAAACATAGAACAGGGTTGGATGAGCAGATTCCGAAATCGTAGGTTAGAGAGAGATGGCGCACGGCAGGCGGCAGGCGGCAGGCGGCAGGCGTTACGTGGGAGCCTTCAGAAGGAGGGGGGCCGTAAGAGAGGAGAGATATTATTTTCTGAGGAAGAAGAAAGCCGATATCGCGGGAGCTGACGCGTTTCGGCGGCGACTGCCGATAACCGGTTTCCGAGAGTCGGGTCGGAAGTTTCTCGGAGGAACTCGCGGCATTTCGAAATAATTTATCTTCCTATATCCGAATTTACAGGATATTTTTTTTATATATAGAGTCTGCAATAAAAAATTTAAGCATTATGTAACTCATTATTAGTATATATAATAATAATAATAATAATAATAATAATAATAATAATAATAATATAATATCATATAATAACTTATATATTTAATTTCTATTTTTTATTAATATCATATAATATTTCATTAATTTTATTAATGAATCAAACAATTATTGGACACTCATGATATAGAAGGAACCAAATAAGATTCCACATTAATCCAATTAGAATTAAAAGGATTTTGATTATATATGATCAACATCCACTCGATATTCATTAGAGTATGTCAACTTTGAAGAGGCCAGCTTTGGCGATAGAAAGGGTTTAGGGTATGTATTATTTTTTATTTTATTTTATTTCAATGTACTTGGTGATATATATCTAAATGGTGATATTTAATGGTGAAATATGTTAAACCTAAAAGGTTATGTATGTAATTCTCCTTTATAATTACACAAATGATACATAAAAATAACAAAGGAATAATTACATACACAAGACATAGAACATTGTTATTTACAAAACTATTAGATTCCTTTTAGACGTATACAACAACAACAACAACAACAAAGCCTTAATCCCACTACGTGGGGTTTTTTTACTATGTGGGGGTCCTTTTAGACATATGATTCAATATAATATGTGATTTCATACAGTGGGATAGAACTTGTGAAAGAGGTGGGGGGGTGTTGAAGATCTTTAGATAGTCTTTTTCATTCAATTATGGCCAAAAAAGGGATGAGGAAGAAGAAGCATAAGCTTATTCTATCCTCTTTTATCTCCTATCTATACATCGTAGAGCTTATGTGCACACACAAGGCTCTTAAAAATAAATAAAAGACTACATTATATGTCGTATTGTACTAGACTTAGAGATACCCGCCGTTGCTAAGATTATTGACATGGATGTCAGACGATCAATAAATAGATATGTATGATATTGGAATGAAGTATTCACTCTTCTGCCTTAAAGAATTGTTCCTCAGGCTCAGTAATGCAACTAGATAGGTATTGAAGGGCTTTAATAGTGTCGGCGAGCTCAATAAAAGAACTCTGAGAAGTATGAGTGAGCTCAGCTGGTAGAGCTCGCCTTGAGGTTCACGAATAGTGAGCCATGTCGGAGGGACTCGCTTGAAAGTCAACGAGCTTCAAAGTTCTTGCTAGGTCATTTAGAGTAACAAAATATTTTGTAGCTTGTCACCTCCAAAAGTATCGCTAATGAGTATGGTTGGCCTGGTCAGAGTAAGGACATTAACTACACGGTTAATGGGCTCGATCCATTAGGGTCATGAGACCCATTAAATACTTGAGTTATCTTGTAGCTAAGAATATTCATTTTTTAAAATACATTTTGTTTCCCAATTCTCTTAAATTTTAAATGGAAAGTTGCGAGTAAGCCTTAGAGAACAAGAGAAAATGAGAGAATATCTCGCCTCTATACATGAGTGGATGGGTGACAAGATCGCAACAATCACTTTGCCCTATTTACGTTCGTCTAAACACATAATTAGTCTTATTTAATTGAAATGGTGTTCTATACCACCAATAAGCTTTTTATTGATTGTGCTTTGAAGAGTAGTTGCAATATTTTACTGCCAAACTCCGACTTTCCTTCCTATGGGGGCTTACAAGCTACACTTGTAAGGAGTAATCGTGAGTGCTCTATAGTAGTTGTGGATTGTTTCTCATCTAAGAACATTTAATTTTTAGGTGGTGGAAGCAACTCATTCTTGTATTATGCCCATACATAATATAGAAAGATTTTATCTTGTCGAGTTACCCAAGGAGCACATGTAGTGCGATAGGAAATGAGGGATGAATTATTTCAATCATGAAGATGTATGCTTTCCCAAGAAGTGGTGGAATAGAATGTGACGAGTTTGAGACTTCTCTGTTTTGTAGGGTATGTTGTTGTTGGCCTTTTGGCATTATTAGACAATAATTATCATATCATTTGAGACAAGTACCACATGGATATTTGCAATGCCAGTCGATGTCTCGTTATGTGGTATATAAGACAGAGATAATGTCAATAAAAGCATAATTAATTATAGTGGTTATAAGAATAGTTTTTCATGTTAACTCCTTATATGATATATAATAATTGTGCAAGTCCTTATTGAAAATGTAAGTTAGAGTCTTCATTTTCTTGCTCTTTCATTTTCTATTGAGAGTTTATCATTACTTTGATCTTGCTCCAATGAGAAAAATCTCCAAATAAGAGATAAATATCTTAGAGGAACTACTTAAAGCAATCGTGCATCAGAGGCTGAAAAAAGAAAGTTCTGAGAGTTTCCAAGGGTTGAAAGAGAATAATGACAAAAACCATAGTTCGAAGCCCGTCGAGGCAGAAGAACTATCCGATCATCTTTTGAGAAGCACACCAATTTCTATTATGGTCTTGGAAGAAGATCAGAATGAAATGACTCCATAAGAGATGCTCGCACTGCCAACCCCAAAGCTTGCTCTTGAGGAATCATCAACAGTTGATCCAGAGAATCCACTTGAGGGCAATTTCTTACACTTTTAATGACATTAAGAGTTATTTGATATTTACAACATTCAAATATAATTTATGGTTTTATATCCAAAATTTGAGGATATTTTATTTATAGATATTCTACAAGAATAAAATAAGGCGTTGTAAATTTATTCTTAATTAGGAATATATCTATATATATATACATATAGCACTTAAAATACAGTAATTTATATATGATGCTTCATCAACAAATTTCATCTATTGGCACAAATCTCAGGGTGTCTTTTGATTAAAAAATATTTTGATTAAAATTAAAAATCATCTATAACTCTAATTTTAGCCAACTTAGTCAAACTGAACGGCTCGAAGAGACAAACACAATGATACAAAAAATTGGTCAATTCCTAGTCTAATCAAGCCATTAAACCATATATGTAGGCTTTGGGTAGTTAGTTGGAGGGTCAAATAAACTAGGAATTTGATGTACATATAGTCAAATCAAATGTCTCGACGAGAGAAATCCAACTAGCTTAAGGTCACTTGATTTTGAGAAATTTAAGGGTCTAATGTCATCAAAAATAGATCTTATGATTAAAAAAATCGATGTGGACCTTTTGCTTAGGTGGTTACAAGAGTTATTCACCAAACAGTCCAAAATGCCCTCCCTTGGAGCCTATAAATAAACACAATATCTTCACTTGAGGGAGGGAGAAGGGGTTGAGTTCTAATGTTGTTCTGCACTAAAGACTGAGAGATAACTTCTGACCTCCGTAGCCGTTGTTAACCATCAAACACTACTCGCAGGTCACCGTTGATGGCTTCCAGCCCCCCTGTTGCGTTAAGTGGTGATCCTTGTGGTTTAATGAAGTACTCTGGATATGACTCAATGAAGTACCTCGAACATGGCATAATGAAGTACCGTGAACATAGTGTAATGAGGTGCCCTTAACATGGTGTAACTATGTACCCCGAGTATTATGCAATGACCTATCCCAACACGTCATATTGAAAATTTGGTGATAAATCCGAACAACAACTGCTTGCAACTATAATACTTAGAATAGATGACTTTCTCCATAGTTCGGAAATTCTATCCCTACGTTGTATACTGAAAAGTGATGATTTTAGTGTAAAATAGTAAAACCAAGAAAAGAGATGCACCCACAAACTAATGTAGCACCAATTAGAACCTTAGGCCCAATTAATGTTATTGCAGCTGCCCACTATGACTTACATGACTAATTGCTATAATTATAACTTTCCACCGTAGTCTCTGCGACCAACCGACACTCTTTTATTGACTTATTATGACTTATGTGACCACTTACTATTATAGCTACACACTAAGTCATTTGTGGCTAACTGTTTTTACTACAACCTTCCACTATAACCCCTGTGGTCAACTGACTCTTGCAGCAACCCATTGCGACCTATGTGACCAGTTACTATTATATCTATCCACTACAGCTTATATAGTTAACTGTTGTCATTACAATATTTCACCATATCCTATAAGGCCAACAGATGCTCCTGCACCTACCGACTACGATGTATGGGGTCAATTACTTCTATAAATTTTCATTATGGCCTATGTGGCTAAGTAACACTCTTGTAGTTACCAACTAAGACCTACATGGTCAGCTACTGTTACTTCTCCCCATTATGACCTTTGTGACTAATAATATTATTGTAGTTACCAACTATGATTTATTTGGCCAACTACGACTATGTGGGCAACTGTTACCACAATTTTTAACTATGACCTCCGCAACCAACTGATGTTAATGTAATCTCCAACTACCACCTATATGAACAGTTGACATTTTTAAAGCCGCTGACAATAACTTTTATGGCTAATTATTGCATTTATAGCATGCAACGATAACATTTACCACCCGCTATCACGACTATTGCAAAGAACAACATTTGTTATAACACAATTGCAGCTACTAAAACTAAATGACCATTGTATACGTGTAATTATTAACCTTGTAATCTCTTCCTCTCTAATTCAAGAGAAACGTGAATTCATTTACTTACAATCATATAGTATATTATTTTGACTGGACCATGCCTCATGATTTTTATCTTTTCTAGGGGTTTTCCATGTAAAAAAAAACTTGGTATCTCCTCCTACTTTTCAATTATCTTTGTACGTACTGGATTTTCGTACAGTACTGAGACATTAAATTATCACCCTACCGTCTCAAATCTTTCAGCATGCAACAATATATATAATATCTAATTTTCTATTTACATCATATACAATTTCATTAATTTTGCTAATGAATCTAATTCAAAGCTTAATAAAAAAAAGACAGATTCAGATCACACAATTGTTGGACATTCCCAAGATAATAGACACCAAATAGGATTCCACACTTATCCGATTTGAATTAAAAAGATATTGATTATGATGAGCACCAATAAGATATTTATTAGAGTATGCCAACTTTGAAGATGCCAACTTTGGCAATGACTTCGGTCATACGTCATAAAGGATTTGGGTATATATTTGAGCACCAATAAGATATTTATTAGAGTATGCCAACATTGAAGAGGCCAACTTTGGCAATGACTTCGGTCATACGTTATAAAGGATTTGGGTATGTATTATTTTTTATTTTCTCTCAATGTCTTTAATGATATATATATATATA